ATATTTTTTACTCATGAAATATCACATTATAATTATAAATTTATAATTTTATATAATATTATAATTATAACATTACTAATATAAAAATATTTTTTTAAAAAAAAGGCCCGCCACCGTTATATAATCTATCCTCATATGTAGAAAAAAAAAAACAATATAAAAAAATTGTTATTAGCTTTGTTTTTATTTCTCTAATTCTTCAAATTAAATTCATTTTATGTCTCATTTCTTTCGGTATAATAAATGCATGAAAAGGGCAAGGAAGTGGAGAAAAAGAGAGTTAATTTTCATTTGTGGCGAGAAAGGAAGGTAGAGAGAGAGAGCGTGTGGAAGGGAGGAATGAGACTGGGTCAAGAATTTAAACCTCTAATTGGGCTTAATTGAGGAGAAAAAAAATACAAGAAAATGACGTGTTCGAATTTAGGACAAAGATAAAGATAAGTGGGCCCATTGCTTCCTGTTATCATCTTTGCAATAAAGTGGGCGGCGTGATCTGCGGCAATCGACCGTTGGGCCGTTTTTACAGGTTTGCGTCTTCGCAACAATGCTAAAAGTAAAAAGTATGGGTGGTCCTATAGGTTAATATTTTTATATTATTTTTTAATATAATTTTTAAATAATTTTTAATATAATTTTTATATATTATTAAATAAATATATTTAATATTAAAAATTTTATATAAATTTTAAAAATTAATTATTTTAATGATAAATTAATTATTTTAATGATACATTAAATTATAAAAAAATATGATAAAAAGATTATATAAAAATTATTTTTCAAATATTATAAATATTTTAAGATAAATTATTATATAATTAATTTTTTATTTAAAATATATTTATAATATTATATTTTTTTATTTATTTAATATTATATTATAATTATAAAGTTATAATTTTATATATTATTATAATTATAAATTACTAAAATTAAAAAGAAAAACTCACCCAACCCCCTCACCGCCAAATACACATGGTGATCGTGAGGTTGGGGTTTTAACTTCCGGTTATTTCTTTCTTTTTTTTCTTTTGTTATTTTCTCTTTTTAGAGAGGATGAAAAATTGCCCATCACGTTTTTGGTCCAATAACAGAAATTAAAATTTCTTAACCTCAAGATCATGGGGTGGACTCTTTTACATGATGTGCTATCTCTAAGTTTTTCTAGGGTTTTTTTATTTTAATTTTGTTTTTGTATTATATAAGTCAAGATTTTTTTGGATTATGTATTATATAAGTTAAGATATTTGTATTGTGCATATTTTTAGTAGATCTAATATGATAATAATGGATTATATAAGAGAAAATTGTCATTTTCTTTTCTTAAATTTTTTTCTATTTAACTTAAAATTTGAATTTAAAATCTTAAAATTTTAACCATTAAATTATCCTCTTGAGATTTATTTGCATTATATATAATTTGTATTCATTTGTACTTTATAAAAAAAGAGAGAATGAAAAATTTAGCAAGAGTGTTCGAAAACAAGCAAAGGAAGGATCATCATACTACTAAAATAAAATAAATGCTCTTTTATGTTTGTAATTCAAGTTTTTAATTTTTATTTAATAAAATTAAAGATAACGATAACGAGTAATTTTTCAAAAATTTTGAAATAATAAGAGTAAAACTCAAAATCTATTAAATTCATAATAAATATTATACTGTAGTATTAATTAAAAAAAAAAACTGTGTCATTTACACAATATTTAAAATTTCAAATTGTTTACTTTTTTTTTTTTTTAATTGTTTTAGGCTCAAAGAAAGATACCGAGCTGGTTCCAATTTCGGGCCCTCGCACTAGGCCTAAACTTTAGCCCATCGTGTAAGCAGGTCTCAAACCAGGACCGTTGACCTGGTCCAGGACTAAGTTTGACCAAAACCTGACCCATTTGCCATCTCTATCAAAAAGAAAACTAAAAAAAAAAAAATTCAGAACAGAAGACACAAGGTGCAAATTGGTGCAACGCATTAGAATTAAAGTTTCTCTTTCTTTTTTGCAAATTGGCAATTAGAATTAAAGGTTTTTTTTTTTTCCCTATGGTATCAGAGAATTAAAGGTTTTTGATTTTATATAGTTCATCTCTAAGGCGTTAGAGTCAAAGATTTTTGCAAGTTAATAGGAATTATAGAGTATCATGATAATAATTTAAATAGTTTAATGGTATTTTTTTTTAAGTAGAGCAAGAAATCTTGTATTTAAGTTGTACAAAATGTAAATGAAGTGTGTTAAGAAATAATAAAAAATTATTTTTTATTGTACAATTTAAAATAAAAATTAAAAAAATATATCAACTTAATTAATTAATGTTAGAATAAATACTAAATTTAGTCCCTAACTTTTACCATAAATATATGATTTTTTCTTAACCTATAATTTTATAGCAATAATATAAATACAATACCATGTAAAATTGGAAGCTTATAATTATAATATGATATTAAATGAGTATTATGTAAATTAAATAAATAAATATATATAATATTACACGAAGACCCTTAAGTGAAAAAAGTTAATTATATGATGAGATATCATATTATAAATTTAAAGTATCATGTGACATTGCAATTATAGCATTTTCGTTAATTTTATATTCAATGCTATAGTTATACAATACCATGTGAATTATAAATTTACAATCATAATATGTTAATAAATGAATGTACATATAATATATCATAAATGAACTTATAAGTAAAAAAAAGTAATTATATAATGAGATATCATATTAAAACTTTATAATATCATGTAATATTATATATTTCTATATGATTTTCAAAATTCCATATACTTAGAACGTTTTTTTCTCATTTTCTTTTCATATCGTATGCACACGTAAATACAATAGTATGTGTGTTTCCTCAAAAATCCTCAGCCGACCTTTACCACATGAGTTGGGTTATTAGGCGTGCCACTTGCTTTGTTTAAAAACAAGAAAACTGGATTTTCCAGACGGCCCTTCTCCTTTCTAGCGGTCGACCTTCAATAGGATGGCTGAAAAGAACGTCTATGAAATGAATTGCGCCCCAGACAATGTTGCAAAACAGAGGGTGGAGTTCTGCAAAATGGGTTACTAATTGCCTTTGAAACCTCCAAGGACTTCACAACCAAATAAGCGTAATAAAAGCTACAGATCCTAAATTAACACAATATCCTAAGGCAACTAATCTATCATGAGATCAATAAAAGGAAACAACATGCCATAAAAATAAAACTCGCAGACAGCAAAAAATGTAAAATCACAGACAACGATTTCTACTATGCAATCCATAACAAATTAAACTTAATTACTTGCATATTTAAAATAAAAATAGCTAAACTACTTGATAACTAAAACTGAAGAAGAAACTATGAAATGATTAAAATCTGAAAACTTATAAAATTAAATCTGAAAATTGAAATTAAATGAACTGCATGTCTGGATATTGTGTAGAGACAAAAGAAAAAAGGTAGAGAACGTTCAACCTATTTACATGAACGAATAACATAATTAAATCCATAAAAGGAAGAAGAACTAATCGAATCAAAAGGGCAGACCTGTTTTGAAGGCTAAGTTGCTTCCAAATGCTTAAAAATTAATCTAAATTGGAATTTGCGAGATAAAATATGAACAAAGATGAACAAACCTAGGCTAAGGCTATGAACTAATCTGGAAAATCTAGAAACTATTACTGAAATTTGGAAAATGCAGTTTGAAAGCTGAAAAACATGCTCTGGGCATTCTGTGTGTGTGTTGGGCAGGCCTTGAAACTATTTTCTTCTCTCTGTATTTATTTTCTTCGGTGCTGGTAACTTCCTCCATGATCTTTGGTACTGTTCCTCCATGATCTGGTAGTGGGGTTGCAAGTCTCGCAATTGTTTGATAGTTATCCAATAATTTTTATTTAACTTTATCTCCAACAACCTTAAAGATAACTAACTAAAAATCCTCAATTTCCCATTTTAAATCAAACTCAAATTACCAGATTCAATCTTATCTTCTGCCACCTAAGATCCAACCTCCTTAAAAATCCGTCTGGGCCATTAAATTGTAAGCCAGCCCAGCTCAAATCCAACTTATTGATTTTCTTGATAATTGAGTTTTACTTGACACATGACCTTACCCTATTGGTTTATTTTATTTTAGGTGTAAACAATGTGATAATTTCTACCGAGGAATATCTATAACGTTTGTCTTCCCCCTTTTGTAGTAGATTGCTCTAACGACCTTGAATCATAGTAATAGTTACATCATTTGCAGACGCAGTCTTCTCGCTGTTCCACATATCCTCTCCGTTTGGTTTCTTCTTCACCACAAATGCAGGTTGGTTCGGGGAAGGAAGAATCGCCTCCGCGTTGCCCAACATGAACACAACTGCAGACATAGACGGCCGGTCCGCTGCACATTCTTGCACGCACAGCAGCCCAATTTGGATACATCTCAAAACTTCATCAACCGGGTAGGTTGAGTTTTCCCCCAATGATGAATCTACTATCTCCAGTGCCTTGTCTTCTTTCCACAACTCCCAAACCTATTATAAACAAAAAAGAATTATATTGTATCTGAGTTACATATCATTAATTAACATTTATGTTATAGTTAGATATTTGGTGTGAGGTACTCTAATTAAAAGGTTTCAAGTTTAAATCCATCATCTTCATATACTAAATTTAAAAAATAAAAAGTATGTATTACAACACTTGGCTAGCTGATTATACTTACATGTTCGATCAAACTTGAAGTAGCATCGTCAGGGCAATGGCTGCTATTTTTTATGCCACTAATAATTTCTAATAGTAGAACTCCAAAGCTATATACATCAGACTTGATTGAAAATAGACCTTTCATAGCATATTCTGGAGACATATAACCACTGTAGTAGGCATTGTAAAAAGGAAATGTTAATGTAATTAAGTTTTTTTTTATATATAACTTAATGTAATTAAGTTTGATATGTATATATATATAGGGAATTTCATTATTAATGGTGCAATTTTTGACTTACTATGTTCCGACTACACGTCTAGTCTTTCCTTCAATTTGGTCGCCTCCAAACATTTTAGCCAAGCCAAAATCTGAGATTTTGGGGTTCATTGCAGCATCTAATAGAACATTGCTGGCCTTGAGATCTCTATGGATGATTCTTAGTCTTGAGTCTTGATGAAGATACAAGATTCCTCGAGCAATCCCACAAATAATTTCAAACCGCTTTCTCCAATCTAGCAATGATTTTTTTGCTTCATCTGAATCAAATAGAAAGATGCACGTTATTCACCGTATAGTTTATAACTCACATAAATTTAAAGAATAGTCATTATGTTATGAGAACAAAATATAATTAACCTACCAAAAATAAATGAGTCTAAGCTTTTGTTTGGCAAGTACTCATAGAGTAACATCTTCTCTTCTTTCTCTATGCAGCAACCTATCATCCTTACAAGATTCCTATGTTGAAGTTTAGCAATCAACATAATTTCATTCTTAAACTC